CAAGCTGGGCCCAAGGTCACCCAATGAGCTTCCATGCTAGAGGTAGGGTTACCAGGTCCTCTTGTCGCTCTGGTGGGGGGATTTGGGGGGCGTTCCAGGGGTGGGCGGGGATACCCCAAGCCCCACCAAAAGCCACAGCCACTCCTCTCCTTCCCCTCCTGCAGAGATTTAAAGGGCTTCAGTTGATCAGCGGGGAACATGTGGCCTACCAATCAGCTGGAGGGCCCTTTAAATATTTCAGCAGGGAAGGGGGGGCTGTTGCCAGCCGCAGGTTCACTCGCAAAAGGACCCTTTAAAGGGTCTTTTTGTGAGTGAGGTGGGGGCCACGGCACACAGGGCTGATTTCTCAGCAGTAATTCAGGGCGAGTGGTGTGCGGGCCTGAATCCCAAGTAGCGAATCACCATTGGAAAATCAGCCCTATGCACCACGGCCCCCACCCCGATCGCAGAACAGCCCTTTAAAGGGTTTTTTAACCAATGGAGCTGTGGCTGGTGAGAGCCCCCTCCCTCCCTGCTGAAAGATTTAAAAGGCCCTCCAGCTGATCGGCGGGCCACGTGCTCCCCGCCGGGCGGCTCACTGCTGCCCCGCCATCAGCTAAAGCCCTTTAAATCTCTCCAAAAGGGAAGAGAGGGGGTGGGTGCGGGTGGCCACTCTTGGGGGTGGGGCTTCCCCGCCGGCCAGCAGCAGACTGGAGCCCCAAAAGCTGGGGAAACCCTACCCTAACCTGGGGGGTAGCAGCCCTATCTGGAGGTGGAGATTCAAACCTGGGTTACCCAGAGTCCTAATCCACCATTCTAGCCACTATACCACACTAGCATTAAACATGCTCTACAGCAGAAGAGTCAAACATGTGGCCCGCGGGCCAGATCCAGCCCCTGCAAGGTTCAAATCCAGTCCATGAGCAACTGGCTGTCTCCTGCTTCCTTCCCCAAGGCTGCTGCCATCACTGCACTGCAGCTCACTTTTACACAGCTTCCTCTCCTGCTTCCTGGAGACTTCATCTCTCTCTCTCTCTCTCTCTCTCTCTCTCTCTCTCTCTCTCTCTCACACACACACACACACACACACACTCTCTCTCTCTCTCTCTCACACACACACTCACACACACACACCTGGGGATCCAGATGATCCATTCCCCTGGAGAAAATGGCTACTTTGGAGGGTGGCCTCTATGGCATTATACCTTGCTGAGGACCCTCCCCGCCCCAAATCCCACCCACTCCAGGCTCCACCCCAAAAATCTCCTGGTACTTCCCAATCCAGAGCTGGCAATCCTACAGCTCCCTTAGTTGTTGCTTCCTGCTTCCTGTTTGCACAAGAGAGATACAAAGCCAGTCCTTGCTTCCCTCCATTGGCTAAGCTCTCCTCCTTTGGGAGAAAGGCAGGGGGTGGGAAAGAGCAAAAGAAAGCAACATCCTTGGCTCTTTTAAGACCAGCAAAGTTTTATTTCAGGTATAAGCTTTTGTCTGCACGCACACTTCTTCTTCAGAGGGAGGGAGGGAGAGAGGGAGGATTCTTCTGACAAGCACAATTTACATTGAGATCATTGTGCTCTGCTGATTTCTTTGATCTCTCTCTCTCTCTCTCTCTCTCTCTCTCTCTCTCTCTCTCTCTCACGCGCACACACGTGTATGTGTGTTAAAAGGAAGGGGCATGTTGGGATAAGGGAAAAGGAGAATTAAAAGGAAATTATTTGGGCTTATTCTGAAAAGTTTTTTTTTAAGATTAGATTTCTCTGTTTTTATTTTCTTTCAAAAAAGCCCTGATTAGGAATTAGAAAACTTGGATTGGATTCCATTGTTTAATGACTGAAAATAGATGGCTAAGTATTTAAAAATACATCTATGGTTCCATATGTTCCAGTTTAACATGTCTCCCTTTCCTTTTTTCCTGCAATTTAATCAAGAGTAAAAATTTAAAAAATAATAATAACTTGGACAGTGGAGTGATTTCAGATGCTGACTGACAATAGCAGCCATTGGTAATGAGACAGGAAACCTAGGTCTCAGTTCAGTCCTGGAGGATGTATTGTCTTGAGCTTCATTATCAGTTGCGATTCAGCAGGCTCTCTTTCTATTCTCCCTTTGAAATTCCTTTGTAAGAGAACTACTACTCTTAGGTCAGCAACTGAATGTCCTGGAAGTTTATTCGTCCCCCCACTGTTTTTTGAATGTTGTAGTTTCTAATGTCAGACTTATGTCCATTTATTCTTTGCATCCTCCTGGACTGAATCCTCCTGGACCGAATTGAGACCTAGGTTTCCAGTCTCAATACCAATGCAGGTATCTCCACACCTACCACCCCTTTGCATATCACACCTAATCCAACCAAGCCTACAATTGTCATTCATCTGCAATTGCCATTTGGCATCTGAAATCACCTTTATAAAGTCTATATCTCTGGTACCTTGTATTACATTTTATAGCACACATAGCTCGGTCTGACAAAGTGACATTTATGTCAGATCCGGCCCTCATAACAAATGAGTTCGACACCTCTGTTCTATAGGAAAATGGCTTGTCTGAGACCAACAAGTGGGTATGCAGGTGGGCCAATATCCGAAACGGGCTATTATACGAACTGGGTAAATACTCCCTCAGTCTGTGAGGTGCTGTAGCACTCTTTGTGAGCAATTGCTCCTACAGAACAGCACAGGTGTTCAACCAGAAGTTCTTCCTGGAAGTGCGCCTAAAGCAGCAGCATGAACTAAGCACAAGAACATTCTTTTAAAAAATACAGCAATGTGATCTTGAATTTCTAGTTGCAAATCAAGTACATAAAAACTCCCAACACCAATCACAATATGCTGAATAATTCAGCCGAGGGGTCATTTTGTAGAAAAAGAGCTAGGGGAACTCATTAGCATAACTCATTAGCATATGCCACACCCCCTGGCATCAGGGGCCCGGCGGTGGACCTGCAAGGCCGGCGGGAGTGCAAGGAAGCCCCGCGAGGGCCCTCCCTGGCCCCAGGCAGGCAGGGGTGGGGAGAGGCGGGGAGGAAGCAACTTACCCTCCCTCTTCTCCTGCCTCCTCCTGGCTGAATGAGGGCTGGAAGTGGGGCGGACGGAAGCAGGGGGTGGGGCTTCATCGTGTGCCCCGCCCCCCGCACCTCACCCGGGGGAACTGCGTTCCCCCGCGTTCCCCCCCGAAATGACCCCTGATTCAGCCAAACCATACTTTTCTCAAGCTCAATTCTGAATTTAAATCACTGAAGGGGGGGGAACAAAACGACTTTGCCAACACATTTACATACTTCAAACACAGGCATGTTGTGAAAAGATACTCTTTTGCCAGTCACATTAATAGCTAGATAACCTCAGAGATATCTTCTGATGCCCAAACCCTTCAACTGCATCCACAGAGCAACAGGTTTTTACACATGAACTGGGATCAGTAGGCAGAAAGGGGCTGCCTGTATTTTGAGTTAATTCACTAAAATCCGGGCTCCCAACTAATTTAACTTTTAGGAAAACATGGGCAACACCAGTGTCAAAATGCATCTTGTACTATATTCTGTGGTACAATGCCATAATTATGAATACTGCAAGAAGAGTGTGTGAATCTGAGCTCTCCATGTAATGCACTCTATGTTTCTAAAGCATATACTTAGAACCATATTCAGATACAGATGTATGTCAAATATAGCTGTGGCACATGATTTGCTCACATCAAGACATTTTGCTAAAATGGTCCACCAGCTCAGCTTTGCCAGTGCCAACACAACTGCCAGGAGAAGTCTTGCCAATATCTTAATAGTAACTGTGCATTAGAATCAATCAGGCCAGATTTAAAAACACTGCCTTTGAATTCTTACCTCCCCCCCCAAAAAAAGTGTTGCTGCACCCTTCTTTGCCTACTGTTAGGGCTACACAAGGGGTGAAGGCAGTCCTTCAGTAAACCCGGTCTGTGCCCAGTGACATGCCACGTTTTAGCTGAGTACCCAGCTCCACACTGGCTGACCAATAAGGATGTCCATCACCAGCATTCATCATTTTCCATTAACAGGTTTGTCTAAAAATAATTCCTCTCCACAGTGGAAACTGAAATTAGGTTAGTCAGAAGCGCGATCCTGCTGTCCAGGTTATACAGGGTCACACTCCACACAAGATACTTTCTCGCCCCATAGCACAGGGGTATCAATCCCTGGAAGAAGCTGAAGGTACTTCTAAACTTATAAAAGGTAATGAAGGTCATACAGAGCCTTGCCATCATTTGAACTGAAGGAACCAGGGAGACCAGATGCAGAGGAAGGCAGAGCTCTTGTGCCCCCGAATACATGTGTAAAAAGGAAGGGTGGTGGCGGGTGCACCTTGCCACACAGGGGAAGGGGAAAGCTGTAATTTCAAAAATATCCTCCTCTGCACAGCTCCTTGGTATTTGGTTCCTAGCTGGGGAAGATATGTCCATACAGCTTCCAAAGTACATTACAGCACTGAGCAGAGTTGCTGTTGCTGCTTCATTAGGTATGGTTTCAAAAATGCAGTGAATTTATTCTCATTTAAAACTGAGCCACTGTTGACCAAAACAGCCTTCTTGTACAATCAATGTTAGTGCATACAATTAACTGAAGTTTAAATCAAATAGGAGCTGCGGTGGCTCAAGTGGTTACGACGCTGAACTGCAGGCTGTGGAAGGTCGGTAGTTCAGCAGTTCAAGACCTGAGTGTGCCACATGACGGAGTGAGCTCCCATCTCTAGTTCCAGCTCCTGCCAACCTAGCAGTTCAAAAGCAAGAAATTGCAAGTAGATAAATAGGTACCACTTCGGTGGGAAGGTAAACAGCGTTCTGTGCGCCTTGGTGTTTAGTCATGCGGCCACATGACCACGGAAACGTCTTCGGACAGCGCTGGCTCTTCAGCTTTGAAACGGAGATGAGCACCGCAACCCTAGAGTCAGATTCAACTGCCTTTCAAGCAAGGGAACCTTTACCTTTTTAAATCAAATAGTGATGTTTTCTAACACACGACATGTGTATATGTCTGCGCCTAAGATACGTACCAAGAATCTCTCTGACAAGGAGTGGCTGGTCCAGGACAGCAGGTTCACTAATTCCATCACCCTTCACGGATTTTACACGAATGTGAAGCTTATCTCCAGATGTTAGGTCGCGGATTACGTAGCGGGTAGAGAGGAAAGGCTTTTCATTGGCAGCCACCCAGTCTACAGCTACAAAGACAGGTGAGGGAAGTGATTAGAAGCAAGCTGTTCATTAGCAAACAACATTTAAAAAATGATGAGGAATCTTCCCTATAACATCATCATATCAGCCAGTGTGGTATAGTGATTAGAATGTCAAGACTAGGGCAAGAGAGAGCCATGTTCAAATCTCCGCTCTGCCACGGAAGTTTGCTGGGTGCTCTTGGGCTAGTCACACTCTCAGCCTAACCTCCCTCACAGGGTTGGTGTAAGGATAAAATGGAAAGGAGAAGAATGTAAGCCCCTTTGGGACCCCACTGCTGGACCTCTCGATGGCACCTGATATTTTTGGCCACTGTGTGACACAGAGTGTTGGACTGGATGGGCCATTGGCCTGATCCAACATTGTCTTCTCTTATGTTCTTATGTTCTTAAAGGTAGCTTATAGATTAACATGAAGTTAAGTAAACTCCAGAGCATGACAAAAGACAGGAGGGCCTGGCGTGATGTGGTCCATGGGGTCACGAAGAGTTGGACTCAACTGTGCAACTGAACAACAACAACAAAATAAAATAACAAAACCTTAAAACATGTCCACCTACAGAGTTCTTTCCTGACAACAAGTCTACAGTCCTATGCAAGTTATATGAGAGTAAACTCCATTGAATTCAATGGGACTTGGATCAAAATAGACACGCAAAGGATTAGGATTTTTAAAAAAAACTAACCACACCTTACTGAGCAGATCTGTCTTCGTCCAACCAAATCTGATAGAGCGGTATGTCCCAAAGAACCACGGATGGCCTCCTTCTTACTTTCCATCTATCCCATTCCCTGCTGGAGATGGAATGTTCTCTTGGCAACATCTGGACATGTTTCTTCCATGATCATGCCCAGTCCATCTTTTTAAACATTTATGTTATACTGACAGTGTATATTTCTGGGCTCAAATTTGACAGATTCTAACCACAACAAAGGTAAGTTGGACCATGGTCTCCATCAAGCAAATGGTTACCAAGACCATGACCACTATGACAAAAGGCTTCTAAGAACACCAGGCAGCTACGGAGTGATGCATTTATACAGGCTGAATCTGGTTCAAATAAAATATTCAACAAACAATTTGAAATACAGAAAGCAATCTACAACCACGAAAGAATGAAATGAAAAATAAGTTATTTATGAGAACTTATTCATCCAGCTGTAGCTCATCAGACACCCCCAGCTAGCCAACCTACTTCAAATCCATCAGCTTTTTTGGAATTAACATTTATTTCCAGAATAAATTGTCCCATTCAAAGAGCAGGGATGATTATTTATAATAATGGCATATTCCTTGTGTAAGGCTAACTCTTGTGAGGGAAAAAAGCCAGCCAAGATCAATCCATCAGTGGTCTGTAAACCAAACTGCTCATAAATGTAACATCTAAGCTCTTAGTATTATTCAGCCTTTAAATTGTGACAGTTTATATAGAGTCTACACCTTTAACAATATAAAATATAGCTGCATTGTATTTTCTATGCTTCAGGGAAGAAACATCATTTGGGAGCAAAGTCTTGTGTTGAACCTATGACCACTACACAAAGGGCTCCGGCCTCAAAAAAGCTGGAGACAAGGGAGATTGTCCATGCTTCTTCCCTTCATTTTGAAAGCCCCTCCCATTGATATACCATACAAGAGTCTGCACGCTAAGATCTTGGCTGTGATGCATATACAGCAGCTTCCTGAGTAAAAGGCAGCTTTCCTTTTTGAATAATTCCACAGTAAGCAGGTGTTCTGTGTGTGCAACTTTTCCTGCCCCAGCATGCCAGTTCTGTTTCTCACCCACTGAAGCACGGCAACACTTAGGCTGTAGTCTATTCAGTAATTTTTTTATTCAACAGGGCTTACTCCCAAGAAGTTGGTTTTAAGAATGGAGCCTTACAGTGCAGTGCTGAGCAGAATTACACCCCTCGAAGCCTCACTGACTTCAATGGACTTGAAAGAGTGTATTTCTGATTGGGACTGTACTGTCAACAGGAGATGCTATCCTCCTTACTTCAGAAGTTTCAGTTCTACAATTTGCTTCTTTTGGCATTCTGAGCTTTCCTCATCTTAAACTTGCAGCATATCCATTATGCACCAACAATATTAGATTATTTTGCACTCCTCACAAAATAGTTTTCAAGGTTTCAGCAAGCATCACTCAAAAACTATAATGCATTTTTTCTTGATTATTGTTTCTGAATACATCAATACAGAATAAAGCAATTACACTCAACATGCAGTGCTGTTTTCCACATTCATACATGCAGCTCCATGCTTACAAGGGAGTAAAGCCTACTTCCGTCTTTGCAGTATTCCACCAAGTATCCATCCAGGCCCTTGGAACCCACATGTTCTGGTGCATCCCACGTCAGAGTCACAGAGTTGTCATTCACATCGTCCACTGTCAGATTCACTGGTTGACCAGGGGATGCTGCCACCACAGGTATAAATACATTAGAAGGTATTTGCCTTTCCCATCAATCCATCCTTTATTCTGTACTAATCCACAGCACTCTCCTCCTAGAAATCCCCTTTATGGTTAATGGCTTAGGTCCAACGACATGTTATACTGAACTGTATGACTGGTACTCCTGGCAGGATTTAATTCTCCCTTTACCTCTCCTTCCCTGATCAGAAATGTCCTTCTCCCCTGAATTGCTTTAAACTTCAGTAGGGAAAAAAGACAGGCACCCACACTGCCTGTCTTTTTGTCTTTTCTGGGAAATTTCCAGTCAGCAAAATGGTACAGGAAGAAGAGTTAAATTTTTCAACTATCAGTAAATGGCTGGCTGAACCATTCATGAAAATTACCATTTCCTAAGGACCCAAGGATCTCCATAAACATTATCTCAATAATCTTCACAACCCCTAAAGTCTGAAACTGAGAGATAGTGGCTTGCCTTCAGTGATTTGTACTGGAAAACTCCAGCTCTTAACTTTTTGTGCTCTTAACCACCATGCTATGCAACCAAGATCCCTCTTCAGAGGCAAGAGCACACAAGCCAGTTCAAACATAATGGGAGGGGGCAGGATAATAAAAGCCTTGATGCTGGTGAGAAGATGGGGGAAAGGTTCATGATACTTACAGAGGGGGCAATTTACCAATTGTGGCTTCTCTACCTCTCAATGCAACAATGGCAAAAGAAACCAGATTAATGAAATTCTACATTCTTAGGACATTATCACAGATGCTATGAAGACTTTTAGATAGGAATGCATCACTTACAAAAAATTGATATGTGAAAGAAAGTGGGGGGAAAGCCAGTTTGAAATCATACACAAAATCCTGCTAATGTGGGCAACAGGAAAGCAATAGTATAAGAGGAGGTGATGACAGTGTTTTCTCCCTTGCAAAACCAGGCACGAAATCCAAACATGTGTGCACAGCACTGGCAACTAGGCTTCCCATCACTTTCAGGCAGCCCTGTAAAACACATTCTCATCCATCTCTAGCCCCATTTGCTTTCTACCTGATTTTATTAATAACTGTTGCAGGTATGTGTATGAATCCTCCGAGGGCCAACTCTACCTGATACACCATGAGAAGCTCTCTCCGAAGCTACTTGTGAAGGATATTATGGGTCCCCTTTATGGAAAAAAAGTAAAAGTCGGATCTACACGGATCCTCATGAATTCATATGATTTTTACATTGAAAGGAAATAAAACCACCATCATGCTGTAGATCATATGTTAGTCCACAAAAATTACGCATCCACAGATTGGACCACAACAGCGCAAAAACATGATTCTAAAGTATGGATCCTCATGAATTCATATGATTTTTATGCTGAAAT